GCCAGCACACGCCGTCCGCAACATGCAGGACTGTGCCCAGCGCCCGACGCGCACGACCAGCCAGCTGCACCCGACAACCGAGACCCGTACACCGTCCGTTCGTGATCCGTTTGACGTGTTGATTAGAATCAACTAAAGGCCAAACCTATCCGCCCATTAGGTTGTGGTGTTCAGACGAACTTCACCAACGGTACTCTACATCGTCTCAGAGTCGGCAAAAATTTTAAAAGGTAAACGTCCATATCCTAACTATTGATTCCGCTGCGTTAGGATTTATTTCGATAAAGTTCAATATTGTGCATGTTGTTTGACGTTCCTAACAAAACCTAACACTATCATCGTCCTCTGACGACTTTAAGTTAGGCCTTGATCCTCATTCGTTATCCTTTTGACTTAATTGCTCTCTTCCGAAGTCGACCTTATGGTTAGGGATCTTCATAAGTCGACGCGCTCCAGCACTTCCCTTGATTTTCTGTACTGATTTTCATTTCTCGACTTTTTCTCGTAGATTATGGATCCGACTCAATTTCTGGCTCCATTTCTGGCTCTCTCGCTCGTGAGATCAAAGATTATTCGGACTCCAACTCCGTTCAAATAGTCGGTTCTAAGCGGACAACCGAGCGGGAGATGTCTCCCACTTCTTCTGTGTCGACTTTTGGTATCGACCAGGATGTATATCACCAAGCTCTCCTATCGGGCGATTTAATGCAGAATAAAGAAGACCCTCGTCGGGACAGTGACTCTCCTCGTCTTAATTTAATTCCCCGAGGTATTCCCCTCAGGCTTCTAGACATTCCCGTGTACAGGACCAGTCCTGTGTCGATAATAGCTCCTACTTACGAGCCTTGTAATGTAACCATAGCCAGTTCATTAGCTACATTAGCTGTTCTGAATCCTTTTCTTTATGCCTCTATAGCCGAAATCGAGGGCTTTAGGTCGTTCTGTGGCCTTCCCTCTGATTGGAAGTTGGTAGCTCCCACCCCTAAAGACGTCTTTTCTCATCCTCCTAAAGGGTGTTACACTTTTTTCATCGACCAAATAATGTTCGGCTTGCGTTTCCCTATCCAGCCAGAGCTTTTGTCTATTAGCAATTTGTACAATGTTCCAATAAATCAATTTTTGCCCAACTCCATTCGTATCATGAAAGCCGTCATTATCATTTGTCGCATAAAGTTTGGTCATTTCTTGCCCGAGTTTTTTCTCTACTGCTACAACTACCGTTTCATAAAGGACGCCCATTGCTTGGGTCGTCATCGTGGTGTTACCTTTCTCGAGGACCTCTCTTCGTATGTCACCGAATGGAAGACCAAATACTTCTACATCCAACCTACTCCTGGCTAATACCCTTTTACTAATGTATGGATAACCGAGAAGGTTAAACAAAATAAGTGTCCTCGGTCGAGCCAGTTCGAAGCTATGCTCGAGGAATTGAATAAGTGCACTTAGAGTGCTCGCTTGTTGGTTAAGGATAAGGCCCTCCTTAATCATGTTGGTATCTCGGTCGACGAGAGTATTCCTCGTCTCGACGACCCTCGTAAGTTCTCGCTTAGTAATTCTCATCGACTGGCGCTATTCGTCTTTTGTTGTATGTTTTGCATGTTTTGGATTGCAATTTATTTGCTTAGTCGTTTAATCGTGTTGTCTTTTCTCTCTCTCTTTTTTCAGTTAAAGCTTTGGCCCGTTTCGAGACCAAAAAGGCCAAGGGTGATAAGCGCAAACAGCCCGCTTTGCCGCGGAAAGCTCATGACGGCTCCGGCTCCGGGTCGAAAGAAGCGGCAGTGGAGACGACTGCCGCCAACAAGTCGAAAGTAATCCTCCCGTCAATTGCCTCGTCGCAGAAGGCCTCGAGCTCGAAGTCCTAGAAGAGGGCCCAAGACGAGGCCGACTTTGTGTTGGTGCCCGACTCATTCAAGCCGTAGAAGAGTCGGGACAAGGGGAAGTCGGTTGAGACTCCTCGCTCCCCTGGTGCCCTTCAGACGGTGACCCTCGAGAGGCCTTCTCGACTTTGGGATCATCCCCATCCCCACGAAATCGCAAAGTACCTCGACTCCATCATCCCCGCCGTTGACAAGGCTCGGGCCGAGCGTTATCCCTATGATCGCGCTGATCGTGCCCTTTTGTGCTTCTCTCGGGTAATTACTCGACTTTTTCTTTAGTCGATTTTCTTATTCTCACCTTTTCTTTAAACTGGTTTTTCTTAATTTTCTTTTTAGTTCATGGCATATGTGATGCCGACCCTCCTCGAGGAGTCTAGCTCACCTGACGCCAACGTCCATGCTTACAAGAAGAAGTATGAGGATGTTGTCCGTGAGCTCGAGAAGAAGGACGATGATCTCGCGGCAGCCAATGCCGTGATCGCAAAACTAAAAACCGATGAGGCTGCCGCCCTCTCCAGAGTCGACCGACTTCGTGCCGACCTCGCCAAGGCTGCCGAAGACAACGTGGCTGAGAGGGAGATTGGGAAGAAGGAGGGACGTAAGTCTTTCCACAAGTCGCCGATGGGCTCCGTCTTCCTCGATGCCTACCGGAAGGAGGTCGTCGGGGCGTTCTATAACTCCCCTGACTTCCTTGAGAAGTTTTGCCCTGCCACCCTCCAGTATTTCCACTTCACGTTTGATGCATGGGAGGCGGTCACAAAAGGCACTGCTCTTGAGGGGAAGGTCGACTGTCAAGTGCTCAAGGAGTCCCTTTCCCTTCCGGACGGCTATCGTGGTGATGCGTCGCTTCCCGACGACTATCAATGGTGGTCGGGACTCGAGGCTCGGGCCATCCGAAAAGCCAAGCTGGGTGCTCAACTTGAGGTTCCTCCTACCCCCTGGTCGGTCCGACTGACTTGGTCGAGCCGAGTGGGGCGGATGACGAGGAGGAAGAGGAACCTCTAGACGAGGAGATTGAGGTCGAGAGCCCTGGCACAAAGCCAGTCGGAGAGGATGGGCGTGGAGGCACAGAGCCAGTTAGGGCGGATGAAGGCACTGAGCCGATTGGGGATGAGGGCGATCAGGCTACTGAGAAGTCGACTGCTGACTCTCAAAAAATTAAATGTTTGCTCGATGTTTTGCTTGTCACGCTTTCCTTTTTCCTTTTGCCGTACTCAACCTATTTTCAAAATTGTAAAGTTTGAGACGGCTATGGATGTAATGAACTTATTTATTTAGTGTAATTCTCTTTTGGCTTGTCGTTTCTGTTTATCGTCGTTTCTCGTCGTTGATTATGCCTTGATGATTTTTTTTAAGTTTCTCAACTCGTCTTGTATATCTCCTCCCAACACGGCTTGCGAGCTGGTCGAAGTCGAGCAACGACTTTTAGCAGCTTCATAGCTGGTAAACAAAAAGTTTTTTAACTTGTCTCCTCCCAACCCGGCTTGCGAGCTAGTCGAAGTCGAGCAACGACTTTTAACAGCTTCATAGCTGGT